CTAAAATTAGGTTATTTAAGTTATTTATTTATTTAACTAGTTTGGTTTGCACATTTTCACTGCTAGGTAGCGTTGCTTCCAATTACGGTGTTGTCTGTTTAATTTTCTATGCAGCAGTTTTGAAAATGAACTTCCTTAAGTTAGCATTAGACGTAGTCAAAGATAAGGAAACATGTATCGAGTGGTTACAAGATCAAGGACTCCTTCGTAAAGCAAAAAAGTGTAATAAATGCAGTGTGAATGAAATTATAAGTGTTCACCCTAGAGAAAGATAAGCACAAAGGACAGAGATGCCTGCAATGCCAAAAGCACGGACAGCAGCAATAGATCACTGCTGGTACTTTCTTTGAGGAAGTCATTAGGTCACCACGGAAAGTAGTCATTCTAATGTACTGCTGGGCACACCAGATGAGACTAAGCAATCCACAAATCGTTGTTTGAAGATGAAAAGACCTCCAGAAATACCATAGTAGATTAGTTTAATTACTGTCATGAGGTCACCATGAATGCATTAGACACAGAGTACGATTCAAAAGGAAAAATTGGCAGACCTGGTCACATAGTAAAAGTGGATGAAATGAAATTAGGACGTCAAAAATATAATCGTGGCAGGATGGTGGATGGACAGTGGTTGTTGGGCATGATCGACTGAGGAGGAGGCTACCAATTAGAGATATGTCCTGAAAACTGCTGAGACAAGCTAACGTTGGTTGTTCTCCTACAGAAACATGTGGAACCCAGAACTACAGTCATCTCGGATCTTTGGAAAGGATATAGTGGATTAGAAGAATATGGATACGAGCACCAAACTGTGAATCATAGTGAGAATTTTATAAATCCCAAAGATGGTGCCAATACACAAACTGTAAAGCACAGGTTCTCAAACTTATTTCGACCACCGCCCACTTTGAGATTAAAAAAAATCTAGTGCCCCCATATTTTTAACTTACCTTTTTACATTACCATCTATTGCGTATCTTAAAAATAGTTATTGCAAATATAATGTTTAAACATGCATTATTATATGGATAGGATAGATAGAGTGTGACCCATATCTTATTTCTAAGATCAAAGAATGTTTCAATGAGAAGAAATAAAACTCATATTTAATCACTGAGCCTTCTACTGCCCCCTGAAAGCCTCCAGTGCCCACAAGGGGGCATTATCTCCCACTTTGAGAAACGCTGCTGTAGAGTCTAACTGGCGACCACTGCAAAGGTGACTCAGCCATGGAGGAATAAGAGATGATAAACTAGCTTTGCATCTGTGCGAATATCTGTGGCTCTGTGACGTGCAGCAACAGAATGTGGACCCCTTCCTCAAGTTGATTGAGAATATTAAGCAACAATATCCTCTGTAGATGTCTAAGTTGTTAAAGTTTTATCATCAATAAAGATGGTGAGATAATGGCATAAAATGCATTGTAACAGCAAGCGACACAACTCTTGATTGCTATTGCCAGAAACTTAATCCAAGATTTTGAGGACTTACATCCTTAAATATTAAATCCACTGTAAAAAAAATAGAAGAAAACCTAACCTATCCCTCTGGGAGTTGATGTCGAACTACGGTCATCTCCCAGAGGGATAGGTTAGGTTTGTTGGACAAGCCACGATAATGGTTTGTAGTATTAGCCAACCGTGAGCGATAGCGAGACTGAGGGGCTGTAGTCCCAGAGATCGAGGAGTGCGAGGGTGTTTGAAAAGGACTTAACTCCAATTGCAGACGATCAGTGTGTTCATGGATCAACATCTGCCTCTGTTGAAGGTATATATATATGGCCGACTTGCCGGACTGCCTGTTAAACACTAGATAGGCTTAGCAAAGAGAGCAACGCAACTCCCGATCATCGTGCGATTGCCGGAAAAAAGTATGATAACTTTCTTATTTTTCGCCTCCAGTCCAAAAGTAGGGTATCGTTGAACTCAACTCGGTTCCCTGAGTTCAAATATATATTCAAAGTCCCGAAATTCCATAGGGTGCAATCTATAGTATTCCTGAATTTTTTAAGATATTTTATTAGACATAAAAAGAATGAGAAATGCTGCATTAATTTAATTTAAGCTAATATGTTTTATGAGTTTACCTCATGGGTTTTATTTTAGATTTTATTAATGTATATTTTCACTTATAGGATTAAACTTTATATTTACAAAATTTCTTATGAATAATGTTATCACATTCAGAAAAAATCACTGTAATATGCACTAAAAATATACAGCATAGGCAGCACTTGTTTTTACTATAATACCATCATAAAAATCTGGATATAAGTTTGCATTTTAAATTCAGACATTTCATAATCATTTTAAAGAAATTGAAGGTTGTATTTCAGAGATTTTCAAAAATTAAAACTTGTGAAAATTTTTTTCCTTACAAGGATACTTCTTTTGCATGTCAAATGATAGAGCATTAAAAAAAAAAAAAAAGCTTTAAAATGAGCCAAAAAATAACTCAACTAAATCATCAGAGTTATTTTTTTTGAGTTATTTTGTATATAAGATCAATAATTTTTGTGTTTTTGACCATTTTCAAAGTTGTGTGTGTGAAAAACTGATTCCAAAAACTGTAGATAGTGGTAATATACCAAAAATCAAGTTAATGTAAAACATGAAGGACCGGAGTCCTAGTTGATTTGTCATAGTAATCACCAATTTATTGACCTGCTTAACTTAGTCAATAAACAATAATTAAATTTTATATGACATATTTATGCAAATCAGCATTTTCAGCATAGACAATTGTAAAACCAAAAGATTGATCAATTCTGAAAAAAATGTTGAAGATGCCCTACATCCTGTAGTATCAAATAATCAGCAGAAATTTGATTTTTTTTATGTAAAAATAAACAAGCACACTTATCTCATTAGTATGCAAATTAGCATTTGTCCTTGTCCAATGTACTAATACTAAACCAAATGATCACTGTAATTAATTGGGCTATGTTTTAGCTACTATTAACAATTAGAAATTAGATGTAGACATTAGGTACCATCTCTTATCAAAATTAATTATAATAATTTAAAACAATCTGGAAGAAAAGAATTAGCCTAGAAGTGCGAGTGGCATAAATGGCAGAGAATCGCATGGTAAGTGGGGGTTGCAGGTTCAAATCCCACTCCAGGCCTATTCTTTTCTTCCAGACTGTTCCAAATTATTTAATAAATATTAAATTATTATAATTAATAATTTCAATAAGAGATGGCATCTAATGTCTACTTATAATATAGGGTCACCATCCATCCCAGATTTCTGAATAGGCCCCATTTTTGATCCTCAGTTCCCAGCAAGGAGTCTTTTCCCTGTCTGGTCCCCCCTTTTTTTGTTTCCTTGTAGTTTTTGTAATATTGCTGCTGCCAGTTTTTGTTTCCATCAGAGGATGTGTCCAATGTCTTCAGAGTTGCCAGGTAATTTCTTAATTAATTTTGCCAAAAGGAGCCAAATTTTAAAACACAAAAAAATATGGCTAAAAAAAGTGCCAAAAGTAAACAGTTATAAACTGTATTGGAGGTGAGCTATTTAATTGAAGTGAATGAATTCAATCAAAATTAAAATGCTTAGGCATATGTACAGTACCCATTTGACAGTACTTATACATGTAGGCTGCAACACGTACCCTAAAAAGTGACGATTCACATATTTCCTCGGATTTTACAAAAAAATCTAGTCACCCTATCTAATACCAAATTACTTAATTTCTAATTATTAAATTAACAGTAGCAAAAAATAGTCCAATTAATTACAGCAATCATTTGGTTTAGTAATATGTCTATGAAAGAATCTTTTTGGAATAAATTGTTTTATGATTTGTCATCAGTAACCAATGTTATTTGTATATCTGTTTTATGTACCTATATATAGATACATAAAACAGGATGTCGCAAATGAAAAGCATTCACACCCTGATCTATATAATAAATTACACAAACACTTCTCAACCAAGTATTCAAAATTATATCAGATTTCATATTTAGGTTAAAGTCCAGATGCGTGTACCGTCATGGCGGCTCATCTCTGATTCCAGCAGTGGGGACGCACGTTCTAATCTAACCTAACCTAACCTAACCTATTCTAATAAATTACCATAATTACTACCAACCAAATTATTAGAATAGGTTAGGTTAGAACGTGCGCCCCCACTGTTTGCTGGAATCAGAGATGAGCCGCCATGACGGTATACGTATCTGGACTTTAACCCATATTTAAAATTGCATAACATTAGTGATTGGAAAATGGAAAAAATTATTAGCATTTACAAAATATACTTTGAGTATACCTTAGTACCAAGAGGGACCTAATGGCTACCCTAAATGTATGAAAAAACACACAGTAGCAACATTATGAAGATGCAAGTAAAATTATACAGGTTTGCATCACCTTAAAGGATATATTATACCACAGTAGCAGTAACAAATAAAGCATTTTACCTTTCTTACTAAAATATAAATTTTTGCCTATAACAACATATCTTCAATTACCAGGACTTATTATACTGGCACTACAGAAATATTACAAAGTAATATTAATTGCTTTAATAATAATTAATATAAAGTAATTTTAAATACTTAATTTTATTGTTATAGAATATACAAAAGTACCTGCTGAGGAGGGACAAGAATGTCCGAAACACAAAACTATGTATGTGTCCAGGTATATTAAGTAAAATAAAAAANATTATACTGGCACTACAGAAATATTACAAAGTAATATTAATTGCTTTAATAATAATTAATATATTGTAATTTTAAATACTTAATTTTATTGTTATAGAATATACAAAAGTACCTGCTGAGGAGGGACAAGAATGTCCGAAACGCAAAACTATGTATGTGTCCAGGTATATTAAGTAAAATAAAAAATGTTTTTCTGTAAAACTTTGTAATATTTCTGTAGTGCCAGTATAATAAGTCCTGGTAATAGAAGATACATTATTATAGACGAAAATTTATATTTTAGTAAGAAAAAAAGGGACACTGAGGCATTTTAATTAAACATTTTACCTTTCCACAAAACGTGCAAGTATATTTCGCGTGTTGAGTTATTTCAATCTTCTTCACCATTTTACGTAAAGAAGCACCATAACGTGTTCCATATTTTCCCACAACACCAACCTTCTTGGTTCGTTTAGCCTAAAATAATTAACAAAACATAAGTTTTTCTTTTTTTCGTTGATTTCCTTTATAGAATTCGAATTCATAAAGCTGATGAAAAACGATTCGTTAAAATGTTAATATTAGTGTTTTTAAAAAAATTCTTGTAATTAAAATAACTTTAATCGAACTCGAGATTAGTCACTTTGATTAAAATTAATACTTAATGTATTCTATAATAAATTATCAAGCAGATGAAATCGGATTTCTTACCATTTGTTCTTCTTACACGTTCCACAATCAAAATGTCGGAAAGAATAAGTTGCCAGATATAGCCAAATAGCGTCTGACAGTTACAGCCAAATATAGCACAAATTACCTAAAGAAATTTTGTATGAATTTAGACATTTTGAAAATATTATATTAAAAAAATGATTGAAGTATATAAAATTAATAAAAAAAATTCCTTTCGATTTTCTTGACTTTATATTAGTTAATTTTAATTAAAAACATAGTCATGAAAACAAACGAAAATAAAATACCATTACTGAACTTTCTATTTTATTTTTATATAAATGTTTAATTATTAATGTATAAACGGAAAATTCTATGATAAAATAAAATTATATCGAATTGATTATAGAATTGGATTGATGGAATAAGACAACGCAAAACATCAGCGGCCAAGAATGCCTCACCTGGGAGTACTTTCTATGAAAAACTGGTCCCTATTTAGGTGTTAGACACATGAAGAAAACCCGGAAAATTCGTGGTTAACACATTGGTGAGGACCGAATCCGCGACCAACTAAGTGTTCAGTGGTTTTATTTTACACAGTGGGCGAATTTATTTACAGGACTTGCAACTTTTCTCAGATTATTTCACTGCTTCTATTTCGTTTATTTTGAAAAATCCAATATATAAATACATCATTGTGAATAATAAAAGTTACATTTTAACGAGTTATTTTCTTACTCTTGATTTCTATTTATAAATATAAATATTAAATCTTATAATCGAGATGGGTTGATAATGATAATAATAATAAAGTGCAGAGCTCAAACGGTTAAAAGTTGAAAGTTGAAATTTGGTATACAGTTAGGATACGTCATGAGAACGTACATTAAGAAGGGATTTTTCGAAATTGTCCCCCCCCGTGAGGAAGGGAGAGAGAGAGAGAGAGTAAGGATTACCCCCGAAGAATTTGGCTTCTACTGTACTATTGTGAGATCCATGATTTTCAAGGATATTAAAATCTATTTTTAAGAAATTTTTTTATTTAACATTTGTCGCGATCGTTAGAAAACATTGCACAGAGCACGGATTGAATGACAGCTTTACTATCAACAAACGGATGAGAATCTTAACAGTCAGTTGCAAAGTGATAACATCCGATTGTGAAAGGAAAGGAAAGCGACATCGTTACATCAACGAAAGTCATCGCTGAACTCGCACCTGCAAAAGCAACTTTCGTTTCTAAACAACTGCCGATCACATGATTGACTTTCCCAGGCTAAATGCTTAAATGGAAGAGACAATGACAATTCCGGGAGGTCGTCCAAAAGAAAGGTGTTCGTCCCCATAGTGTTCGATATACCCGCCATATCCGGTGGATACCGATGGTCATATCAAGACGCCTCATAGAACAGACCTCTTCCAAGCCGTTATCATCGACGACTCGCCATATGAAAAGAGAAGACATCGACCTCCATAAGGATTAGAGATATTTTGTTAGAAATGTGTAAACTCTCTCTCCGCGTTCGAGAAATTAGGCCCGCCCACGCGGCATAAGACATAGAATAGTCGTGCCGCGGTTGTAAGATCTAATATCCGTATTATCGCCCTATGTTAATTATTTTGTTTGAATCCTTATGTATATCGTAGATTTAGAATATATTAAACTTTTATTTGTTTCGTTAAACTTGTCTACCTGTCTCGGAAACCGGACACCTTATCGACTTACCACCACGCTCCCCACTCAACTATTTGCCCTTCTAACCAGAGCCGTAACCAGGCAGGTGCAACAGGTGCATTCGCACAGGGCCCACTTGGAAGGGGGACCCAAACTGCTGTTCACAATAAATTATATTTTTAAACCTTAAATTTTTTCTCCTTTTTTACATTTTGCCTTATTTAGACCCTAGATGTCTACTCACCAGTGTTTCCAACCGTGGCGACTTTTAGAGGGACGTAGTGAGATAGCGGAGACCTCAGACAAATCAGCCAAAAGTAGCGACTTTTGAAATTTTGTTTATTTATGTTTTGAAAAATTTAAATTTATGTTTATAGTTTTCAAATTTATAGATTTTTCTCTACTTTATAGCGCTCTCTGGCAACGACTAATATTATTACGATATACAAAACTCTATTTCTAGATTTTTCTACAGTGTGCAGAGCTAGAAATCTATAAAGGTAACATTTTGTAAGAAAAATAAATCTGCCCGGGGATTTTTTTAATTGCTAAATTGCTAAATAGAAAACGTGGTAACTTTCGATTAAAATCTTATCTCGAGGTTGTAAAAGGCGCGCAGAAATTCTGACATAACTTTTTGCTTTATAGTGGTACGCATATGTGAGTGGTACCTCAACGGTGGATTAAGCGGTGAGCGGACTATGCGGCCGAATAGGGCCTCGAAGGGTTCCCCGAGGTCTTTAAAATGCTACTGAAAAAAGGCTGATTTATGCTTTCTCTGTGGCTCTTCTTTACAATACACGAGTGTTGCTGATTTAAAAAAAATCAGCTGCAGATCTCGCTATTAAATATAGCAAAGATTTAAAAAAGTACGAATTCACACGTGAAATTGAAAGTTTTAAGTTTGAAGTAACGACTCATACAAAATATAGAAACTGCATCTCCACTTAATATTCTACAGGCTCTTCATGATTTTGGTTTAATTGAGTCTTACCCAAATATCAATGTCGCTCTTCGAATATTTCTAACTCTTTCCGTTTCTATTGCTTCGTGCGAGAGAAGTTTTAGCAAGTTAAAATTAATAAAAAATTTATTTAGATTAACTATCGGGGAAGAACGATTGTCCAATATTTCTATTATTTCAATAGAATACTGTAAGGTCTCGTTTTATGCGGTGGATACGTTCTACAGAAAAGCGCATATAAAAAATCCGCATAAAAAGAGACTTTACAGTTGTACATTATCATTAAAAATTTTAAAATCCCCGCCATTATTTGTCATCAAGGACCTCAAACTGAGGAGATTTCACAACGAAAGCAATCTGCATGGCTCTCGAGAATTAACCGAAAAATTTCAATACGTATAAAGTATCTGTCGGGATAAAAATCGTCTGTCATGCGATTTCCCGCGCTTTTCCATTCGTTCGACGAGCGACGGTTGTCACCATAGAAACGGCAATAGGACCACTTTTGAAGACTCGACAGTTGATTGATTGGGAGACATCATACCATCGGCGGACGTCTTGTAGCGCTGATAAGCGCTGATTGGTGGAATCCAATTCTGCTTCAATCCTATAAAAGGATTGAGTTGTGGCGGGAAGTTCAGTTCACAAGCGCAAATTTTAGTTTGAATAGATAATGATTATGTTCTAACTTTATTTTTCACCTTTCAGTTTGTTATCTTAGTGTCTGCTTGTAATTAATGTACAGTAGAGTTAATATTAAAGTGTTAAGCAAGGATAATCACTTAGCAGATAAAGAATTAGAAATACATTTTGAGCCAGTTATCCTTCCAGTCTAATTTACACAAATAAAAATATGTATATTTTAAGATATAAGCCAATAATTTCCAATGTTCACTTACAGATAGCAAAGTTAGGTTATTTTGGTGAGCAACATTAACGCTTTTTTAACATGCTACTTTTTACAACGTATTTTTTTACATTAGTAACAAACAGTAATTACACAGTAACCTTCAAGTTGTTCCCGACAAATTCTTATTTCTTATTTATATATAACATACC